TTTTCGTACTAGACTGGATCGACTGACCAGTTACAAGTCAGCACTCCCACTTACTCCAGTAAGTTTAAGCATATACAAATGTTCTGGTAGAATGGGAATATGTTCTATGTGATGTTTCTCAACTTATAGTAAACAGTAAACAATCTTTACGGTTTCTCAGTGGACCCAGTGCCCCATTCCTCCCCAGTGGGACGTTGGCGGTTCTTTATCAACCAGACTATCCGCCACAGAGACTCTCTGTCCAGTCAGGGAGCAACCACACCATCACCCACCGCAGAGACAAGGATTCCCCAGTCTCCTAAAAGAGAGAAAGGTGAGCACTCCCGGAGTCAGTGTTATTACTTTGGCTTATTAACATGGCCCATTTGGCCACATAACAAAAACTTAACTCCGTGTTCATTTCTGCGGCTGTAGAAAGTGAAGGATCCCAAAGTCTGGAGTCCTTGAGTGGAATGAGCTCTCCTTCCTACCCCACCCTTTCTGCCACCTCCCCCCCAGACTCCACTGCTTCAGTACCTACTTCCATGAGCCCCTCTGCTACCGCAGCCCCTGCTCATCACACAGCACCTGAAACCAGGCCTGGACCAGCCTCTGTCCCTGTCACCACCCCAACTGGCCTTATCTCAGCTTCTGCTGACCAAATTTCTATTGCTCCTTTAACTACAGCAACATCTGCTGCTGCTCCCGATGCTAACCTCACCAGCTTGTCCACTGCTCCTGCTGTTGTGTCTCCCTCACCCATCACTATTCATCCTGATAACCTGACTTCTCCTGGAACCAGTGTTTGTTCCACTGCGAGTCAAAGTGTAGATGATACTCTGATCTCTGCTTCAAGGCCCCGTATGTCTGCCGTGGACCAATCTTCAGCCTCTTTTCATTCCCCTTCTCCTGCTGTAGTCATCCCTTCTACTGTAAGCCAACTTGGCATAGAGCAGCAGCAGACATACCCCCAAGTAGCCCAACCAGCCCCACAACAGCCACACCAACAGCTACAGTCTGCATCACAGCAGCAAGTACCGTCACCACAACAGAAACTGCAGTCCCAACATCAGGTGTACCACGAACAAGTACCACTTCAGCAGTCTCTCCAGCAGTTGCATCCGCAGCAGCTAATTCAAACACAAATACCACTTCAACAACAGCTGACTGAGGTGCAGGGAATGTCTCAGCATTGTCATTCAGAGGTGTTACAGCAGTCTCTGCCTCTGCCACCTTTTCCTCAGCAGCCAACCGAACAACCCCTTGTTCAACAACAGACATCAACGTTTGCCCCACAGTTGCTGCAGCAGCCTCAGTTACAGCAGTTACAACAGCAGATTATGAGTCCTGCTGGTCCATTGCCCCCCAAACAAGCCCACATCGATCAACAGCAGCAACAGTTAAACCTACAACAGACATTACACTTACAGCAGCAGCAGCTACAGCAGCAACAGCAGCAGATGTTTATGGGTGCTGCAATTTTGAACCCAGATCAAAACCAAATGCTGCCCCTATCAGTTAGTCAGCAGTTTCTTCAGCAGCAGACACAGCTAAATGTTTGCCCAGTACCACAACAGCAGGTCCCACAACAAACCCAAGTGCCTGTTGAGCTGTTATCACAACACATACAGGCACAGAAACAATCACAATATACTGAGCAGCAACAGGAGATGGTTAAAGCTGTGGACACACCCCTCAAACAGCTGCAGTTTCCACTACAGAAGCAGTCCTCCTTACAGATGTCAGAGTCAGAGGTGTCCACGGGAGAGACAAGTGTCACAGAGGACACGGGGAGTTATTCTGCCCCCTTTCATCCCTCCTCTGACTCCTCTCTGCCACCTCTGCATCTGGGAACTGCTGACACCCCCTTACCCACATTCTCCCACGTAATGACGCCATCCCCTGTTCAACCTTCCTCCGTAGCCGAGTCAGACAGCGAAGGCCCCCCCAAAATTGAATTTGTAGACAACCGCATAAAAACCTTGGATGAAAAGCTAAGGAATTTGTTGTATCAGGAGTACAGCAGTGGGACAGCACTGGCTGGGGGAGCTACCTCTGGCCCAACATCAGCTGCCTCCACATCAGCAGGTGGTGATGAGTCATCAGAGCCACAGTCAATCCACCACTCATCTTTCCCCCCACCTGCCTCCATCTCAGATACTTCCCCACAGTCCTCATCCTCCACTACTTCCTCCACCACCTCCCGTTCGTCTTCCACCTCTCCTGACCCAGAGAGAGAAGGAGGTGGAGAGAAAGCTTCCAAAGAGGTGCCAAACTCTATGGAGTTGGACCCAGTGGAGCAGCAGCTTGGCCCACGACTCCTCACCACCTCTGTCTCATCCAGCCCACCCACCCCTCTTCTGCCTCCCAATCAGGATGACTCTGCTGGGCCCCAACGCCCACCTGTACCAGGAGAACCAACCATTCTTGTGAGTGAATACCACAGATTAGATTTCAAGTGAATTCTCCTTCAGTTTGTCTTTCACTGTAGTGAATTATAATTATTGTACTGTTTCAGTGTGTAAATGTGACTCCACGATGTTTCAGCTGTCCGCGATTATTCGTATTATATAAATGTTTGAGTATCTCTGCGTTTCTTTTTATATCTCAACTCCATGCAGCCACTCTTAATTGTCTTAACTGTTCTAGGCTGTACCCTCACATTCTGACACCAGTGCCATTGGAGACGCATCATGGCCCCCCAATCAGCAACCGATCCCCCTCCGGCACGGACAGCAGCAGCACAATGCAGGAGGTGGATATTTTGGCCTAAACCTGACATGTCCTAGTATCAGAAATCCTGTTAGCAAGAAATCCTGGACTCGAAAATTCAAAAACTGGGCATGCAAACTGCGTCACTCCGCCAGCTTGTTCAAGAAGCCCAGAGTCCAGCAAGGTAGCGTCCTTTTAGGGAGTAAACGCACGCGAGAGAGAGCGAGAGCGAGAGAGAGAGAATGGGATGTTGGGGCATGGACCTAAATCTAATATCTAGTACTAATTTTAACATAGCAAAATAACTTTTTTAACCTTTAAGGCTTTAAAGTTAATGTTAATGGACATTAATGTTTCCAGCTAAATAATACTGTTTTATGTATGTTTTTTTATTTGGTTATAGTCCCCCCCTGTAAGTCCCTAGTGTTGACATCACTGCATACATTACTGTTTGTTTGTTTTTATTTATTGATTTTTTTATTTCTAAATTCCTTTTTACTAAATTTCATTTTCTTGGCAGTCTTTCTTTTTGCATGACTTGCTCACTCAGGGGCGAGAACAGTGGAGCGTAGAGGAGGGTGGGAGATTGGCACAGTATAGGAAGAGTTTGGCATCACAAATCTGATGTCCTCCCAGTGCTGATGAACTATGGAGTAAAGACAAGCTGTGCCTGTGCCAAGGAAATATTCCTTCACATCACACCTCCCTTCATTGTCCCAAGTCCACAGGCACTGCCAGCAACAATCATCTCAACTGCACCTGCTGACTCAGTGTAGACAGCGTAATGCAACTCACA